AATCTATCTTTAATTTTCCGTCCTTTTTTGTTTCTTTATTTTTTTTATCTTCCGAACGTTTCTTGATTTTCTTGTTTTTCTTAGTAATTCTTGAATCCCCTATCGTGTTGTTATCACAGTGAGCGCAGTCGACTATGTGTGTGTGTGTGTATATATATATATATATATATATACACACACACACACACACATAGTCGACTGCGCTCACTGGGGTGAATGCAGACTCCAGAGGGGCTTGCACGCTGCAACGAGTATTGTACAGTGTTGAGTGATTGAGTGCTGAGTATTGGGCACGGTAAGAGATAATGCGAGACAAGGAGGTTGAGTACTCTTAAAGTGTGAGTACATGAGTTCATCACTGAGAGGCATTGCATTTGACATGCGTACTTGAGATACATGCATAGAGATGCATTTCCTTTTGCTGCTCGGTCTTGGTGACATTCATGATTTTACCTGTATCTTGACATATAGGAATAGAGATATACTTTCCTCATGCTATATGAAAATGAAACATTTACCTGATGAAAGGTTTTTGGGAAAAATTTCAGTTTTCAAACTTACTCGTATTTTTTGACGATTTCGGTAAAGGATTTGGGTTTTCATTGATATACTTCAAAAGCGGAACTATTTTCGAGAATTATGAATAAGTTGAGCATTTTTAATTTCAAGCTATTTCTTTAATTACTTGCTTTACATTATTATGAATTGTTTTTGGCTATTGGTGTTGGACCCCACCTTTGTTCCAGCTCGTCATTACTTTCAACCTAAGGTTAGGTTTGTCACATATTGAGTACATGGGATCGGTTATGCTCATATTACACTTCTGCACCTTGCGTGCAGATGTTGGCTGATGTTGCTGATGTGTTCGATGGGAGCTGGATTTGAAGATGTACCTGCATTCCTATTGTAGCTGCCTCTTGTTCATGGTAGCCATAGATTTATAAAATTCTGTTTATGTACTTTTCAGACAGATGATGTATTTACTTATATCAGCTTTGTAAACTCTATTCTTAGAAGCTCATGATTTGTACTACCAGTTCTTGGGAAATGTATAAGTTTCAGATAATTTTTTCCTTTTAATTATTTTTATTAATTTCATTCGAAATGGATAATTATTAATTGGCTTACCTAGCGGGTTGGGTTAGGTGCACAAGTAGTCGAATTTTGGGTCGTGACATATACTTTTTCTTATTTAAAATCCTTCTGGAGTGGCAAGTGAAATGGTCTGCGGCTTCACTCACTTTGTGATTGTGAGGGTAATATATTAGCCAAATAATAATAGCCAAGGTATTTTTTATTTTCTCTTATTAATTAATTATTTTTATTTATTATTTATTATTTTTTCTCTCTTGTTTTCTTATTATCAATTTTCTTGAACTCTTTTTCTTCTCAAATACATCTTTCGATAATAGAAGTATATCTATCTATCTATATCTATCTATCTATCTATCTATCTATATCTATATTTATTATAAAAGCATGAATACAATGTCGGTTTACCAAAATAACCTTATAATATTAAGCATAATAACTCATAATAAAAGGACATAATCGGAATTCTAGACATTAGCCTTATAATCCTATTAGTTTTAGAACATATACCACACCTATAGGAGTCCTATTAGTATAGTTACTTTCGGGCATAGACATTTAATATTACATGTTAGCATGTAATACGTTAGATTTTTATTTTTTTAGTATTTTGGTTGACTAAATTGGAGTACTATTGGGTCTTAGCAAAAGATTGTAACGTAAAGTTTCCTATTAAAATGTTTTGTCGTCTTACAAATTAGGTTTTGTCTCATCCAAAAAGGTCGTGATTCTTTTTATCAGTATATATGTGCTACTGATCTACTTTTATGATTTGATAGATAAAATATTTTAAAAAATAGTTCAATATTAGATAATATGGTAATTAGATAATATTAGATAAAAATGGTAATTAACATTAGATAATATTGTAATGTTTAAAAATCTCTAAAACTTTGAATTCAACTAAAAGTAATATTATATTTGTACCTTTAGGCCAATAAACCTGTATTTTGGGAATTCCGATAATAAGCTCTAGACTTTGCTAATAATCTATGTCTATATTATCTATCCATCTATCTATCTATATCTATCTATCTATATCTATCTATATCTATATCTATATATTATTATAAAAGCATGAATACAACATTGATAGACCTATTAGCCCTAAAATATTAATTAACTTTTATATTTGTTGTTGGATAAAAATGTAAAAGTTGGACCTAATATTATAGGATTTAAAATCAACTAATAATATTAATTTTTTCCCCACCATACTAATCCTACTTCGACAATAACACAACGCATAAAGTGACTTCGAATTCCCTTCTCTTATAATACGAATACGAAGTATAAAGAGAATTGTTGGGAATTGTTTTTCCTTTGAACATAATATCGTCCCTTTTTTATTATTGTGGGGAACTATTTTTCCTTTGACCACAATTTCGTTCCCTTTTTAGGAATGTTTTGCAAATGAAATTTTGTCTTCAATTCAGTGAGATTTATGATTATTTAAAGAAGAAATTACACTTTATGTTACTTGGGCCATACAGCCCACTCAAAAATAGCCCATATTTGAGGTCTTTACCTGGCATAGCCCATGTTGACTAACTTATGAAATTTTATTTTCACCCAGTAGCCCACACCTTAACATAACCGTTTTAATATTTTAAATTATAATTTCTCTGTTGCTCTCTTCCTCACGCTTTTCTCACTCTCTCTTCCTCTCGATTTTCTCAGACCATAACCGACTCCATTGTTGTGTGCAAGTTGCTTTTCGAGGTTTCAATCTTAGTTTGAGGTAATTTTCGTTTCATTTTATGCTTTTCCTACAGTGTTGGTTTTGAATTTTGTTTTTTTTTTATTTTTTTTTTTTGCTTTTTCTGATTACGCCAATTTTTTTCAATGTTGCTGTGTTTTTTCGGATGATTTTGTGTTCCTTGTTTCTGCGTTCGAGACTTAAACTTGATGAAACGAAATGCATGGTTTGTTATTTCGACTTTTAGGATAGAATTTTTGGTTTTTTGAGTTTTGTTAAAATTTGGGAAAATTGGCCTCTGCTTTGAGTTTATGGCTTTTATTTTTGTTTAGATTTTGAGTTTTGTTATAGTTTTATTTGTTTGTTTTTCTTCAGTTGTCTTCACTTTTGTTAAAGCTTTGTTTTGGCCTCTGCTTTGCGTTTATGGCATTTTGGGTTAACTTTTGAGTTTTGTTACAGTGTGAGTTTTGTGTTTGCTTTAACTTTTATGTTTGTTTTGTTAAAGCTTTGTTTGTTTGGTTTATTGTAGAAAATGCGTTCAAAAATGGCTGCTTCTAAAAGCAAACTGAAGATTGACGGAAAAGGCGTTAGGTTAGATTATGCGAAACGATTGAGGGAGTTGCCTTCAAGCCCTGATTCAGAATCTAATGTAAATGCCCCGGCGCCAGAAGTTGATGATTTTGATTCTGCTGCTCCTCCTAAAAACTTGCAACCAGAGAGCAGTCGGATGACTCGTTCTCAAATGAGAAATACTCCCACTCCAGTTAAATCTTCGAGTGACTTGCCCTCACCCTCTTCTTCTGAAGCGAATAAGCATGTGCAGGCTGCCGATGATGATGATTTTGAGTCTCCTCCTCCTCCAAAAATGTTGCAACAAGGGAGCAGTCGAATGACTCGTTCCCAAACAAGTAATAGTCCTACTCCGGTTAACATCGTTAGACTAAGGAGTAAGAAATGCGGCAGACCTGCAAAATCAACAGATAAGCTGAAAGATGATTTGTTTAATGAAGATGATGTAGTCCGCAATGTTAAACGGAAAAGGAGAAAGATGAAGGATGATGGTGAGAGTTGCCTTGATTTACAATCGAGAGAACAAAGGGTCGTTATTCGCTTGAAATTGAATAAAAGAAAAGCTAAGTTGAAGGTATTCCCTGTTTTGCTATTTATTTATACATGCTTATACAGTTTTATACAAAGTTATACATCAGTTTATACATCTTTATACAAGCACTGCTATACTTGTATATACAGTCTTATAAAATGTTTTAGTATATTTTTTGTTCTTGATCTATTTCTTGTTATTTTCCTATATCCAAGGTTGGGGACTTCTATATACAACCAGTTGATTATTTCCACAACAGGATTAGTTCCCATACCGAGCCTGATATTGTGAACATTTTGAAGCAATGTTTGACTGACACGCAACTTCAAATGTTCCGTGCTAGTTGTTTTGGGTACTTCCTGGACCTCCCTCAATTTAAAATTCAAAATCAACTTATTCATTGTATATTATTGAGGGAAGTCGTCCCAGGACGTGAAAGGGAGTTGTGGGTGATGATTAATGGTTGCTTGCTGCGTTTTGGCATTGGAGAGTTTGCTCTTATCACTGGTTTGAAGTGCGTAGACGACGACGCCACTTTCTATGACAAACCAGATGTTAATAGGTTGCTGAAAGAGTATTTTCCAGGAGATGGAAAAAAGGCCATAACAAGGGGGGAGCTTCTTGATCGCTTCAAGCAAAAGGAGTGGAAGTCGGATGATAATGCGTTCAAGATGGCCTTGATGGTGTTTGTCCATCATTTCATCTTCTCTGATGCCAATAATCATGGTATCACCAANGTCCTGTTAACAAGTATGTATTTTCATTATGGTTGCAGTTTTGTTAATGTAGCAGGTTTTATACATATGTATACAATAATATACATAGTTATACAAATTTATACAAACTTATACTCTCATTTATACATCTGTATACATGTAATACCAGTGATTGTTTGCAGTCCTGTTTTGTATTTCTACAATCTATCAATATATTTAGTACCATTAAAAACAGGAAGACACTATTATTGGATAAGCAAACACATGTATAATGAAACATGTCAATTGCTTGTGAAACTTAACTAATCAACATTTGTAACTCTATTGTTTGTGAAACTTAACTACTCAACATGACAACAAATGTAATAGGAAGCGTTTTGTTTCCAACTATTTATTTTGGTCGATTCCTACATGTTTTCCTATTGTGACTACCTTGTCCACACACAGAACACGAAAATGCCCTCTTAGACTCTTTCTCTGAAGCAGGCTTGAGTCTTTCCTTTCTTGGCCTTCCTGCATTCCTTCTCCCTTTAGGTGGTAGGACCACATCTTCCATCACCTCTGTTGGGATTACCCATAAACTCTCTTCTGGCATCGGATTCACTGGAAATCCATAAGTGCTAAGGAGTTTATCCTTCTTGTAGTAAAAAGAGCAATACTGGCCAGGTTTCAGCTGCTGGTTCTTCAAAACAGCCCAAGCATGCGGACATGGAAGTTCATCCATTTGAAATTTTCCGCAACTGCATGTTCCCTCTTCAAGGCACACTATGTTTCTCCTTACCCCTTCAAGCACAGTATATAACTGATTCGTAGCAGGCCTCACCTGCAAAAAAAAATTTTGAAAAAAAAAATTTAAAGAACATTATACATTATTATACAGAGTTATACATCCTTATACAAGCAGTAAAATGCAAGTCAGAAGTGCCAGGATTCATTATATTTGATTCATTTTACCGTCATTTGCTCCGATGCAATCAGATTTTTCCGAAGGAGTTTGTTTTCGCCAAGCTCTGTAGATGTCTCCATTGCACTTTTTCTGTTTTTGTTGTTCCACTGTTGTAGCAAATTTGTCATGTACTCCAGCAATCGCATTACTGGTAACTCTCTAGCATCCTTGTTAGCTGCATTAATTGAATCTGCAATATTGGAAGTCATTACCATCGACCTTTTCACTTTGGAATATGCTCTAGACCACCTTTCGTACCCAATTTCGAACAAGTAAGGCTGCACCCTTGGATCAATTTTGTACAACTCTGTCATATGGTACTCAAACTTCTCTATCGTGTAAGCTCTTGCCAAAGCAAAGAAGATATCCTTCAATTGTTTGTGATTTTTCTTGAATGTGCGCTTTACATTCTGCCACAAGTGAAACATGCAAATACAATGTGGTACTTCTGGGTACACAACTTTTGTGGCATTGAAGATGCTTTCATTTCTATATGAAACTATACACATCCCTTCCCTAACTCCAAAAGTACCCTTTATCTGGACAAAGAACCACTCCCAAGATTTGTTATTCTCTGAATCCATAATTGCATACGCAAGTGGAAGGATTTTTCCTGTTTATACAAAAATAGATATTAGGATTCAGACTGCAAATTAGTCTGCAGATACCAACTGCAAATTTTATACAAATCTTATACACAATTATACAGATTTATACCAACTGCAAATTTTATAAAAACAGCAGCTGTGAAATCCTATACACTTTTATACATGAAACTAAAACATTATACAAACTGCAGAAACAACCATTATCGGTCTGCAATGCTCCCAGCCCTTGATAGATGCATATAGCGTAACATATGCATAAAGAAAGCATCCATCTTCTGATTTGTGCAACTTTGTAACCGTTCCTGAATTTGTTTGCTCCAACATATAAAAATACTTCGGCAACTCCTTATATGAATCACTCGGACTCCCTCTTATCATTGCCATTGTTATTTCTTTAGCTCTCCATGCTTTCATGTAGCTCACTTCAATCCCGTGTTGCTTTTGTATGTCCTCTATTATATCATTTGCGGTGTAAACTTTTTTTGGATTAACATACTTGTCCTTGACTATACTAGCAATTATACCCGAAGTAGCTTGACGTTGTGTTAAGTATCTTTCACCATAGCCGCATGTGTGATTATTATTGTAACTTCTCACTTTGAATATGTTTGCCTTGAAAACGGCAGAAGATTTGAAACTCCAAGCACAATTGTCATCCAGACATGTAAGGTGATACCTAGTATTATACATCATTCAACTTCTAAATACACTTGTATACAAACTGCATATATACTAATTTTAATACCTATATACAAATATATACTACTTTATACATATTTATACAACAGAATATTCAATTAATGACATACCTTGTTGCGCCTGATCTCTTCACCTTGAATTGGAACCTCTCGCGTACAACCAAGTTCTTCATCACATTCATAAGTGTCTCTTTATCCTTATAAACTTGATCCTCCTCAACAAATTCGTTCAACATATTATCTATTATACCCGTATTTTTACTAAATTTCGTGTTTTCAATCAATTCAATATCAATAATCTCAGTGCTATCAGTTGTTGATACATCTCTAGAATTTGAATTTGTAGCAACCAAACAACTGGAACTTGAAGCAACCACAGAACTTGTAACAACCAAATGATTTTCATAAATCTCTTTCACTGTCACAAACAGGGGATATTCAGTGAAATTCAAGTTTTTCTTCTTTAATTCTATATACACCTTAACTCCTGTATCGTTGTAAATCATGATCGGTGGCAAACCAGCATTTGGGACAAAGTTAATCTCTATTGTGTTTAAATCACTATCGATCCTAATATGTTCCGAAATAGCTGCAACTAAATTGTTGTAGTTGAATGTGGACTCGATTATTACACAATTACTGACGAAATTCACAAACTTGTTTTCTTCCCATTCACCACTATGAAGAAGGTAAACAGGAAAAATCTCCATCTAAAAAAAAGTTGAAATCAAAATTGCAGCAAAAAGGAGAATTGCGCTGCTTCGTAGCAAAAAAATTGAATAAATTCTAGATGAAGAAGAAATGCTAGGGTTTTCGTACCTGCATTTATCGCAAGATCTCGTTTTTGAAGTATTTGGGGGAAGAAGATTGGAAAGAATCTGAGAAAATCCAGCTGAATGAGAGAAAATCGCATTTGGTAGTCTCAAAATACCGGAAATAACGCCCCCTTTTCAGATATGGGCCTCTAATTTGTGGGCTACTCAATTGTAAAGTTAAATATGGGTTATAAAATTGAAAAGGAGGCAGCCCACTTGTTTTAATGTGAAATTTTCCCTAACTAAAAGATACTAAATATCACTTGAATTTTATATCTTATACTGGGATTATGACGTGACACTCTAAAAAGTAACTATTTAGCTTAATAAAACATATCAAATGTAACAGATTAATTTTAGACCCCCTTCTCCCAATATTTCTCTTGGTAACATTACTCTCCCTTGTGGTTTATGGAATTATATTTATCTCCATATTTTGATTTCTTTATAACAACTCGTAGCCATGGGAAAATATCGAGCTCGTTGGTTTTGTGTTTGTTATGAATTGTTTGATGCTCTCACAATGACTTTTCCGCTAATTCAAAAAGGTGTTTATAAAATTCATTAAACAAATGAGTATAAATTAACAAGGGTAAAATAGTCCAATTATATATTTTTTGCATTAAAGATAATGAGTTTACAAAATTATTATAAAGTAATCAAAATAAGAAAAGCAAACATGATACAAGGGCGGCCCGACCAATTTCGTGGCCTAAAGCCAAACTTTATGAGAGGCCTTCACTTGTTTATTAATAAAAATTATTTTAGTTTTATTTGAAGTCTGTTTTCCTAACTTTTTTAGATGCAAAGTTATTATTAATTTTTTATAATCAATTTCTGCTAATAAGTCTTTCTCAATTGACAATATAACTAATTCATTTAATATCCTTGAGACATTATTGATCTTAGGTAAGATTTTATCAATTTTAATTTTGAAACACTTTTTTCCGTTGAAGCAACGGTAATAGGAATTATTAACATTATTCTATAAGCAATATAGGCATTTGAAAAATAATCCAATCTTTTTATTTGATTGAGTATATCAATTAAATTGTTATCTTCTAATTGTACTATTTTTTAAAAATATTTTTAATTCAGAAAATAAATCTAAACAATCAATATCGGATCGATTATTATGATTTAAGGAGCATTCAAGATAAATGCAATATTTTTACAAATTTCCATCATATAGTCATTTTAGTTTTTACCGCTAAATAGAAAACCAAAAATATTTTCATATGCCTCTAATTGTTCAAATCTATTTTCAAGTGAAAAAATAACCTTGTCTACTACTCTCTCACGTCCATAATAAGTGACTTTTTTGGCTTTTATTTGGCCCAAAATAAGTGTCTTTTTATATAATCGAGAAGGAATTAACTTTATTTTTTCAAAATTTGCCTTTATTTACATATCTCAATGTGTTAAGTTAACAACATATACATTTTAATTAAGGATAACTCAGTCAAAATACATTTTTGTTCTAGGAGTCAGTACGTATTTTCTTAAGGGGCACAACAAATGTTAAAAAGTCATTTATTATGGAGCAGAGGGAGTATGTGTAAAAGTAATCAACTCTAAAGGACTCTTCGAGAGATTTTGAGATTTCACTATTAACATTCTCCTCAAATTGTTTCTTCCTATATATTACAGGTTTCTCATGAAATTTGGGTTCGACATTAATTTCAAATGCAATTTCCTTGGCAGAAATCAAAGCAGTTGCAAATCCTTCATCTCTTTATTTGTTAAATAAAGAAATTAAATTTTTTCACTTCACTTGAAAAAAATTAAAATTTATCTATAGCCTATTACGTGTAAAAGAAAATGGGGCCTCCACAAATGTGGGGCCTAAAGCAATTGCTTTACCTGCTTTATGGACGGGCCGCCCCTGACATGATATTTACTTTTTAGTTACCTTGGCCAAAGTTGAAAGACTTTTATGTCACAAAAAAGGAAAAGTAATTTTTGTATTACAAACTCAAAGTTGAATAATTTTTATGTGACAAAAATTAGAAAAATGACTTTTCTGTAAGAAAATCAAAGTTAAACGACCACCGGCAAAATTCACTCCTATTTATCCATTGATGTTTTCGATCCCTCTTCTATGTAATTATCTTTCTATTATATAAGATAATTTATTTTAGATAAAGTTGGAGGGGAAGCATGATTTTCACCCATTTTTATTTACATTATACTACAGTTTAACTAGTTATAGTATATTACTTGTTCTCTAGGTTAATAATATAGATGGATATTTAGTAGTTACCTATTAAGTGATATGAAAGTAAAAAAGAAAAATTTAACTATCAAAACATAGTTAAATTATTGAAATAATTGTTGTCGTTGGTAACCTTGTGTTTTCCCAATACACTTTACAAACAAAATTATTTCTTGAGTGCACTTGAAACTGATCTGTTTAATTTTCTCAGCCCTATAAGCTACAAACAGAGTTCTTTCAAACATTCCATTATGAATTTGAAGGAGATTCATTCATTTTAAGAAACAAATCTGATTTTGCTGGGGATGTGATTGAGTTTGTGACTTCACCAAATAATCCAGATGGGAACTTGAGAAGTCCAGTTTTAAAAGGAGCCAATGTGAAGACAATTTATGATCATGCTTATTATTGGCCTCATTACACTGCAATTCCAGCTCCTGCTCACAAAGATCTCATGCTTTTCTCAATATCTAAGCTCACTGGTCATGCTGGAAGCAGATTTGGGTAATATATATTCAATATTTAATCTAAATTACTTTTTGTTAATAGAGGCAACCAAATTTATGGATATTTAATCCACATATGCAACTATGTGAACGTTGGACGTGTTCAGAAGCGGAGCCAAGATTTGAAGCTTATGGGTTCATGATTCTAATTCTTTTGATTTTTTTCTTTGGGTTTTCCATCCGGTATCTTTTTTGGTTTCCATCCGGTACCCGCATTGGGACCCGAGTAAATCCAGATTTGCGCCGGGAAGTCTCACATTGGAGGGTAAAGCACTCTCTAACAAAGACGACTCCAAACCCAGGGCTTGAACCCGAGACTCTGGTTAAGGATGAAGGAGTATTTAACCCTCCATCCATCACAACCCTTATGGATGAGTTACTTAGTTCTAAATTAACAATTTATAAATGGAATTCATAAGACAAATACATACTTTGGACAAAAGCTACTGAAGTCTTTGATCCGCCCTCTTCGGCTCTCCCTCCATCATGGGCACATTTTCTATGAAGCGGCTAAAAACATCTCTATTTTTTGTTTTACCTCTCACCGCTATTTAATAATGTAGGTGGGCTATTGTGAAGGACGTGAATGTGTATAAAAGAATGATGGACTATATTGTCCTGGCTGAAATGGGGTTCTCAAAGGATACCCAATTGAGAGCCTTAACTCTACTGAAAGTTGTTGCTGAAGGAGATGGCAAGCAAATCTTCAATTTTGGACATGAAATCATGAGGGATCGTTGGGAAAAAATGATTCACATCTTCTCTTTATCTAAACGTTTTAGCCTCCAACGCATTCCAACTCAGTATTGCACATTTCTTGACGGAGTCAGAGAACCATCTCCAGGTGACTTTTTTTAACTCAAGAAAACTTATACATAAAAAAGATTTTTATTTTACCTTTTTTTAACTCAAGAAATGCCATAATAAGAGAGAAAACAATTACCAATATGTGTGTTTACTCGTAAAACGGTACAGTTGAATTTATAGCGTGATCTATAGACAAGCGAGTCGATTTGATCCCAAAATGACAAATAAATTAAATAAAATGCAAGACTTAGTATTGAAATCAAGATAAAATAGCAGACAACTTGGTTCCAGGAGTAAGACTTCCGAAGACAATAATAAGAATGATGTTAGACAGAAAATAAAATATTATTTAGCTTGGAATGATGTGTAGCATAAGTTTGTCCGAAATCTTCTCCCTTACAATGGCTGTTGAAGTCACTATTTATAGCTATACCTAGGGAACACGGTCCCACGATCAAACCCCTCTTAAATTACAATAATGGGGGCATTGATGAATATGTAACGATAGGTTATGAATGCCAAAATTCACTATAACGGATGTGTATTTAATATTGAAGAATATTCTTCATTGAATGTCATCTGGTGGCAAATATTTGTTTGCCCTCGTTGATAATGTTCCCTTCGGGGTCTACCTCAGGCCAACCGAAGTTGTTGTCCTCGGTCTTGGTTTCCACTCGCTTCGTCTTCCGTCTGTCCCCGGTTCCACGTGTCACTCTGTCATTCGAGTATTTAATGTGAACTGATTTCGCCCTATACAGATTGTCCCCCTGCTTTCCGGTGGCACATCTTTGTGTCACTGGGAAGTTGGTGAAAATTCCTTTCTTCGAGAAAAATTTTCTAAACCCTTCTAAAAAGCTTATGACGCTTGATAAGACGCACATCTCTTCATATTTAATACCCCGAATACGTGTTACTCCACGATTTAGTAATATTTTTGCCGGTTCTTGAAGTAATCATGGCCATGATTTTAGCCGCCTATTCCTTTACTTATACGCCTGATATTCTTTTACACTTAACAGTTTTGTAAACTCTCTCAATTTCTTTGCATTCAAGTCTTTGCTGCTTTCATCTTTCTTTAATCTTCTTCAAAGAACTCTTATCATCTTCTGCTGATCATGGTTTCTTTCACTAACTCTTCCAAAAAGTCTGGTCTTCTCTTCGGTGGGTGCCCGAAGAAGAGCAAAGACAAAGAAATCGACATTGATGCTGACCCTCCCACGGTGAGCACCATTATCCCCAGATATCTCAACACAGCCAAGGACTTCAAAGAGATGTTCCTTACTTCAAACCCTCGTACTTGGGCTGTTGGCAAATTCCCCTCTTCTATTCGCCCTTCCAGCATCCCTGCTGTGAAGGAGGACTACGATTTCCATGACCTCAACATTATTTATCCTGATCTGGTGGAGCGAGCAACCTTTACTAAGAAGGGTTTCACATACGTTTACACGAACCCATTCACTTTGGGTGCTTTTTCTTTGAGCGGGGGACTTGACCCCATGATTTTGGAGTTCTGCCACCGATACCAGGTTCTTTTGCCACAGGAGGGCCCTTTGGCGTGGCGAATGGTGGCCTGTCTATAGCGGTTGTGCCAGGAAACGAAGGAGGAGCTCACCTTGGCTTGTATGATGAATCTCCACTCCCCCAAGATTTTCCGTGGGGGAGTAATAAATTTCATCAAACATGGCCACCATGCTTTGCTCACTAGCATGGATGACAACAATGATCGTGGGTGGATGAAGCGGTTTGTCTTCATTGCCACTAGGGACATCATCCCGGCTACAACTCCGTCTTTCTCTGAATCATGGACTCGTACACGTAAGTTCAAAGTGTATCTCTTTTTTTTTTTTGAAGAAAAGGATGTTGCATGTTGTTCTGATCCCTTTTCTTTCATTATTTCGGTACTCAGTGGACACCACCAAAAGTTGAAGGCCTGGACCAGTGGGTTCAGAAGATTCTGGACATCACGACGCCTGAGACTTGCCGGTGGAAAGAGTTGGCCCCCAAATACAGATGGAGGCCAAGAATCATGGTAAGGTGACTCGTAAAACTGATTCTGCCTTCATTCCATTTTTATATATAAGAAAACGGGTTAACCTCACCTTTTGTTGGATTCAGGTCTCCCGCAGGGTTCTGTTACCATCCCTGAGGAGGACGTATTGGCACATTCCGTAGAGGTTGCAAGGTTATTGAAGGAGGCTCTCACCCAAACAAGCGACGTCGGATCTGCTTCCGGTGCAAGGACATTCTCTCGTAGTCCCCGGCCGGAGAACAAGAAAGCAAAAAGGCGGTGTTCTTCCTCGACCGAGGGCAAGAATAAAAATGTGAAGAAAACCGCAACCGAGCCAGCCGCAGCCACTGTGGTTATTGACAATAATGGGGAAGCCAATTATGAAGGGCCTTCCTTATAATGGAGATAACGATCTTCATTGGCTCAACAGAATGCTCAATCTGAAGAGCTTATAACCCCAACCGAAGACGATGCCCAAGCGCTCTAGGGAGAGTTTGACTTGGTGGAGAATGCCAATTCTCCCTCTCCGGTCCTAGTCGTTGCCCCTAATACTATGAGGCCGAGTATCGAGCCTCTTCCGTCTTCAGTTGGTGAGCAACCAACAAACAACACTACCTTTGTCGCAGATGCTTCTCAACCCATAACACCTTCATCTTCATCTCCTTCCACGCCGGCCACACCTTCATCACCAGCAACAGCTATATCACCCCCACTGGCTGCAGACGCCCGAAAGGAGGATTTCCCTCCTCCCTAGTTCCCAGACCATGGGAATTTGGGGCACAACTACTCGTCCCTTTTTACAGATCCCCAACGGAGGAGGAATGCCTCCCTCTCGATATCTACCGAATGCCATCTATTGTCCCGGCCGGTGGAACTCGTCAATTATCTAAAGCCGTTGCTTCAGAAAAGGATAAAAAGAAAATACACTCTCTTTCTGGAGAGTATTTGTTAAATAACGCCATGCATAATGCGGCGGCAGTAACGTACTTGTTCTCTTTATTGCTTGTTTCTTCTTAACTTGCTATGATAGGGTTTCTAACTGGGGTTTTTGCTTCGCCGGCCAACTTCCTTACTTCTGAGGGCCTTCAGAAATTGATCCCCGATAAAGAAGGACTCCAGTTCGAGCGGGACCAGTATTTGGCCGAGAGGGATCAAATTTCTTCTCGCCTCCCGATGTTGGAAGAAAAAGCTGCTGAGGCGGGTGAGTTAGAGGCTCGGTTGCAACATAGTCAGCAGGAAGTGGTGACCCTCAGCCAAGAAGCCTCTCAGCTAAATGTACAGTTTCAATAAGCCAAGGCTAAATGGTCTGAGGTCCAAAATGATGTGCTCGCTACTGCCGAGCGCGAATCTGCCTCCATTGAGAGAGTGAATAACTTGGAGGCAGCCTTGAACTCCAAAGCTCAAGAGGTTGTTGTTGCTGAGGGGAAGTGTGCCTAGATGGAGGATAGGTATGAGAAGATCATGGAACATAACAAGGTTCATATAACCACTATCCGTAATCTTGATCTTAGCCTTAGCGTCACGAGATCAGAGTTGGATGGCCATTTTATCGAGGTTGATCAGCTTAAATCAGAACTCCAGCATCGAGCGGATTACCTCATCCTTGAAAAAATATATTCTATGTATAGCTTGAGGAGAAAAACCTTGGAAGAGGCCAAAGCGGGCATCATTGATATTGACGATGAAATTGCCAAGGCCCGAGAGCTGGAGTTAACTGCTCAAGATGCCTCCTGGATCAGTCTGATGCAACGGACTCTTTTGGTTCTGGTTCCGAGTTCTCATGAACCGAGAAGGAACTTGAGAAGAATAACGATGAAGGCCAAGATCCCGAGCTGACGGCAGATCCGCCTACTTCTCCCGGGGGCGCTGATGCTTCTCTTCCCCTGAGTTCTGGGGGAGATGCTTTTTGGTTTCTTTTCCTTTGTTGTTTTATTTTTGTATTTTTGTACTTGTGCTGCTTGGCATGTTTGATAAATAAAAGTGGTTTTTGTTTAAGCATTGCGCAAAGTTTACTTTTTTGCGTCGAATTATGCAAGGCTTCAGGTGCATTTTTCCTCGATACCATTTGGGTTCCGGACATAAATTCTTCCGGAACCAACCCTTTACTGTGAGGGTTTCATAAGAGAGGTCCCTCTTATGTTTACGGTACTCTTGAAAAGGACGTCTCCTGTTTATTCCGGCATTATTATTTGAGGTACTTGATTAACTTTCAATTGATAAAATTAATTCATCGTTTGGACAAGAAACAAGATAAAAGTAAGAGGACTTTATTTTATTCCTTCTATCTTCAAAAGTAAATAAGTATTCGTTTAGCTAAAAGAAAAGAAATTACCATTACATGTGGCTAATTTGTACAACTTATTTTTACGGGGCTGGTTGTGCAATCCCCGATCTCGATGAGACATTTTTGTTCCCGGACTTCGTAGTCCCGGTTTCTGTGGCAATCATGCAATTAGGTTGTCGTATTCTCATATCATTTCCCCCAGTATTCGAATGCGAAGAATGCGAATTGGAACACTAAAAGTCTTGCTCCTTTGAGGATTCCACTAGTGAATGATTGGATATCATTGGTTCGATAGCAAACTTCGTTTCCCGTTAGGAACGTTTCTATCGAGCCAAAGATTAACTAACCACCCCTAGTGGCTTGTAGGGAAAACACTTGAAAATGGTTGAATAGCCTTTGGTCTGGTAGCAAGTTTTGCTTCCCGTTAGGAACTGTCCACCGAGCCAAAGACTATTGAACCATCCTGCGGTGGTTTATCGTTTTGATGCCTTGTCGTTTAAAGGTCTTATTTCCGCTGATGGTGTTTCCTTCGTAGAATGCTTTCCGTTGCTTCCTCATTAAAATCATTGGCAACAAATCTAATTGGGACAAAAACTGGACGAAGGGAAAAAGAGTCCAGCATATATTTTCAGTACAAAAGGTGCTCATCAGCAATAATACCTTTTGAGGTGCGTCACATTACAGTTGCTTGGCAATTTGACTATGTCTTGGTTCTCTAGTTCATATGATCCTTTTCCGGTGATGA